ACATACATACATACATACATACATACATACATACATACATACATACATACATACATACATACATACATACATACACCCTAATAGCTCAAAATATAGCAAAAAAAAAATCAGACACGAAATAATAGTTTTATACCTCTCTTTAAACTTCTTTATGTTCGCATTTTCCTTGAGTTCACACTCAAACTGTTACACATATTTACTCCATCAATGAAAATACAAAACTATCATGTTAACATTATTATGATGTAAACAGAAAAGAAYATATATATTTTTTATGCTGACATGTTCTTCACATCTGCTTTTAATCCAAAGTGTATATAAACTGTAACGTTTTTAAAAACAATTTATAGAGGATTTTAATGTTTTTCTGCATTTAGCACATTTGCTTCTGTTACCAAGAACTGAGATTACTRGATAGACTTCCTACTTCATGTTTGAAGAAAGGCCAGATGGTTCAAAAAAAATTCTGCAACATTTGAGAAATATGGCTTCGCTTTTGATTTTTATCTCCTGCCTTTAAAGCTGGGTGGAATCCTTCCCATCATGGCTTACTCTGCAGGGATACAAATTAGTTTCTGTGTTCCGGTGATGCCTGCCAACCTCCAAGGTATATTGCTGTTGTAAGAATTCCAGAAGACCCAGAAGGAGTTCAGAGACAAAGAGGAGGGAACATTGCAGGTTAGTTCACGCCACAACCTTTTTGAAAGACTTTTTTTCTCTCTGTTGCATATATTTAATTTTTAATTGTCCCTCCCCTGAAAGCTTTCACCTTTTCCTGACTTATTAGACAAAACCCAGCTGTACCTATTGGGACACAAAGTGTTTCTAACTTTCTTGGTAAAGTCCAAATCACAATCAAACTCATCCTTTAAGCTCTCTAAACTTTTTTTTTATTGCTTCAGTTGATTTCCTGTGTTCTGATTATTAGAATATTTGAACAGATGCACCTTGAGCTTCGCTGCTTTTTCAGCYGACGTTTGAGTTTATTTTCTATAATTAAAGATGGATTGTGTGATTAGAAATGTTGTTCTGCTCATTCAAAGCTAAATAGTGCAATCGCTCATCATTTTAATGTTTCTGAATTAATATTTTTTCTGCTTGTTTACAAAATAGCAAGCTTTAATCTATATCGATCACTTTCAGAATCTCRCTCATGACTGTTTTGGGTGCTTGGCTTCATTTTTTGAGCCCTTCTGTTAAACGTGTTTTTTTTCTGCAGTTGCCCGGGACAAGAGACAGACTCTGGCCATGCCACTGAAAGGATAAGGGACTGGGATTGGGGTTTGGAATGTTTGCCACAGATCAGGAATGGAGCTTTCTGCTCTTTTGTGTGCAGTCTGCAGAGGAGGTGTGGAATGCAAACTACACGAGACAAGAAACGAGGCCAAATGAAAGCGTAGCTGGGGGTCAGTGTATGTGAGGGACACTTGAACAGAGGAGGAAACGGGTGCAGAGAATTCTGAGGCYGACACAAAACACCTTAAATTGAGYGAGATCGCTAGAAGAAAAGCTCAAGAGCAGAACCAACAAAAAGAAGTTCCATTTATTACTGCTGCTTCAGATTAATTAACATTTCACACATTTCTTACAAAGAATGACTGCCTTGGAGGAT